CCATGATGCAACTGTCTTTTCATGCTTTCTCTTGAATAGCCATTCTTTCATTCTTCTGTCCCTTAGTCAAAAGATTCGAAAATCCAAAGAGTGTAAGCAGTACTGGCAGAAGACCAAATGATTTTATTCCTTCCATCTGTTTTATGACACCAGAGACTGCTAAATTTGTCAAGTGTTGCTAACAGAAATGAATTTATAATGCAGAACAACTCTGTGAAGAACTGGAAAACCATTTTTGCAGTACGCATCAAAATTAAAAGAAAAAATTTGAAAATAGAGTATAAATCTTTGTATAAAAATTTTCAAATCTTCTGTTATAATATGCGACACCATGTTCTTTGCTGATACAAACAAAGTTAATTCCATCCATTTATCATAAAAAATTGAGTTAGATACAGCATTTTGAAACACAATGCTTAAAATTGTTTAAGCACCCTAACAGGAACCGGCATTTAAATGCACACCAGCAGTGGGCATTTAAATGCACACTAGCAGTGGGCATTTAAGTAAACTCCGGCCAGCTCAAGTTTACCACCATATCAGAAGTCCAGTGTTTAAAGTTTAATGGTGCATGGCCCAACAGGGATGACAGGCAAACTAATTTCTTCTTTCATTCCTTTATCCCTTAGGTTTCACTATCTCCATCCAGTCATTATAGCGATGGGCTGGATGGCCAGGTTTCGATATTTTGTTCTCAGTAGGGCAAGACATTTTTCTCTACTCCATAATATCCAGACTGGCTCAAGGCCTCATGCAGTCTCCTGTCCAGTGGATATTGAGAGCTCTTTCCCCAGAGATAAAGCGACTGGGGTATGAAGCTTACCACTCCCCTCCATCTAGTGCTGAGGTCAAATATGGTGGAGCTATACCCCCACTCCCCATATGTCTTCATGATGTGGTGGTTAATTAATTAAGCATGAAGAAAACTTTACCTTTTATGTTCAACAGTCCTTTCCTGTTGCCATCCCAATCCCTATATTTGTCCATTCTATTGCCATTCACCTTCCTGTCTTTCCCCTCCTTCCTTTGCATGTTAAGTTCCTTCATCCCTGTGCTCTTTCATTCCTCAATCCCCTTGATCTTCTTTCTCCCATATTCCTTTCCCATCCCTTCTATATCCATTACACCGTCAATCCTCTCCCCATATCCTGGAAGCAGCAGAAGGTGGTTTGGGCTTATTCACATATCCTGGGAATGGCACATGGAGTTTTCCCTGAGCATGATAGGGACTGCCTGTTGTTTTTATGTAGATGTTTCATCTGTCTCTCTGTTAAAAAAATCTCATATAGAGTATTCTTTTCTCACCGCCAGTTTTTGGAGGTGACTCCTATGTATATAGGAAATTTGTGCATGCCTAACTTAGAATGATGTTTTCGAAGTTGGTCCCATCCATATAAAGTTAATTTCCCATAACTATTTTAATACTATTCCAGTTGTCAATAACTGATACATGTCAACGACTTGTGTGTTTACTTTTATTGCAATTATTATATGTCTTCGAAAGTCAAGCCATATTTTTCTGTGATTTCACTAGCCCATAAATTTAGTGTCTCTTCAATTTTCAGTTGGTATAAGCCTTCACAGAAGAAGGTTCCTGCTAAAGTACGATCAACTGCAAGAGATCCAGTGAAAGTATTCTGCCGGATAAGACCACTTTGGAATGATGAATCCTGTGTGAAAGTGACATCACAAACAACCGTTTCACTACAGCCACCAACAGCAGGAAGCAGTCACTGTCTGGCAAATTATAAAGAAATTCTCTACACATTCAAACATGTGTTTGATGACAAAGCCACTCAGAAGGAAGTGTTTGATCATGTGGCCCTACCATTGATAGAGAATCTTATTCATGGCAAGAATGGCCTACTTTTTACTTATGGAGTTACTGGAAGTGGCAAAACTTTCACAATGACTGGAGAGCCACAAGATGGAGGAATAATGCCTCGATGTTTAGATGTCATCTTCAACAGTATATCCAGCTACCAAGCCACAAAATTTGTTTTCAAACCCAATAGAATGAATGGCTTTGATATTCAGAGTGAGGCTGATGCTATGTTTGATTGCCAGAATGAGTTATACGCTGCTAGACCATTGAAAATACAAAGGAAGTAAGTAGAATGTACAACATATATGAGGCCTATTTTTTATTGCTAGTGGGGTGGGACTAAGTCCCTTGTACTGCGGCCACTTCTGGCCTATTGTACCAGCCCCAGATGATAGGTGAGGGTGATTGTGGAGCAATTGGTGGAATGAAGATTGGCAGGGGAAACCGAAGTACTCAGAGAAAACCTGCCCCAGTGCCACTTTGTCCACCACAAATCCCACTTGACCAGACCCGGGATCGAACCTGGGCCACCGCAGTGGGAAGCCAGTGACTAACCGCTTGAGCTATGGTGCGGCCTTATATATGAGGCCTCTGTGAGAGTTGTCCATTTGAGGACAGCATAGGATTATTGCAATGTGCATTGTTTATATTGCATAAATTAAATACGTGAATATACAGTCATAAAGGGCATGTCATGTCAGTCTATGTAAGTGGATGCATATGTTTGGTAACTCCAAAGGTATGGTTTTATATTGCAAAGGTTATTATTTCTATAATTTTAGTGTCTATCTACTTGATCTCTCCTAATTCTTCTCTGTCTCAAGTGATAACACTTCTGACTTGTATCTGGGAGATGATTTATTCAAATTTTGTCTGGGACACCAACTACCCTGATTGAAGTTTCCCATGGTTTTCTTAAATCCTTTCAGGTAAATTCCAGGATGGTGCCCTAAATTAGGCCATGACTTCTTTGTTCCACGTCTGTTCTAGTTCATTGTTCACTATCATCCAGTCATTCAAAACTGAATTTATAATGCTAATGTAAAAATGCTGAGTATTTTATTCACAAAATAACATTGTGTTTGAGCACATCAACAATTAAATGGGCTCTTACTCCATTGCCCATATGGTATTTTGACATAATTATGTTTTTATCAACAGCATGCTGTGCTATAACAGTTAAAATAAATATTCTCTTTTGTATTTGTATATCCTTTCATATTGCTCCAACATATCCAAATTCTGTAACAGGTTAAGTTGCTGTCATTTACTTTTATTATTTCTATATTAGTTATAGTAAGAATAAGATAATATGCCAGTGCTATAACATGTATATATAATGGTAGATGTCACTTGGCTCAGGCCTGGGAATGGAGGTAGGCACCATAAGTTTAGTTCCAGAGCGCTTCATTTTAAGGAAGCTATTTTCAGTTCCTTAAGACGTAACTTTTGTTCACAATGGTTGTACATGTAGGAACAAATTCATGAGACTATTTAATTTTAATTTGTGTATGTTGATAATTCCCCCGAAATTTTCTGTTGATCTGGAGTGTTTACCTAGTTCCACAAAGTCATTTTGCTCTTTGAATGGTTGCATGTTAAGGAGGCTCAACTACATGGACACAGTATCNGCAACCCAAGAACCCCTTTTTTATGTTCAGGTACGTGGAAAACATGTAAATCTGTTAAAATCTGAAAACACTGTGTTTACAGGCGTTGCTGGGGAACGCTGCCAAGAGTTGTTTATTGCTTTGTAGTAACCGCAGTGTCCCCTGTTACATCACTGGGAAGTGCTGTTACATCACCGCAGGGGAGGGGGACAGAGTGTTGACTGGCCTGTTACCATAGCAGCAGCAGTTGCTCCGACGATGTGACGTCACCACTGGAAAAAGGGGGGGGGGGCGTTTACCAAGCATTGTGCCTTCCACGTCACAATATGTATCAAAAAGTGAAAACTGGTTGAACCATCTTTTCTGTGGCCTTTCATGTTCTCATCTATTCCTTCAAAGTAATTTCTCCAATATAATCTCTATTTCTCAATGTCCTTTACAATATTGGTTTCTCCCAGTTACTCCCTAATCCATTATGTAAATTTCCTCCCCTTGTGACACCCACAAATCACATGAGAAATTCTGGACATGCTTTACCTGTAGTTCTAATAATTCCATTTATTCTGTTAAATGTATTGATTTTATTTTCCAGGTCAGGTTATCCACTGACAGATGTTGCATTTCCAAGATATTTCAATATTTTAACCTATTCAATTATATGTGGGCACATGGTACTGTATTTGGTCAAGGCACTATGCTACAAGCTGGAAGGTCATGGGTTCGAATCCCGATGAGGCCATTGGATTTTTTCAATTGACCTAATCCTACCAGCTGCACTATGGCCCTGGTGTCCACTCAGCCTCTAACAGAAATGAGTACCAGGAAGATTCCTGGAGGGGTAAAGGGTAACAAGCATGTAAGGCTGACAACCTTACTGCCATCTGTGAGCTGATTGCCTAGATAATGTGGGAGGCTCAATCTCTCACACCCCTGCGGGCCTTCATGATCTCTTATAGGGACAGCTTTGCTTTTTCTTGTTCATTTATATGATTATCTATTACAGCCTTTGAACATATTTCTTTACTCCCTGAGATAAGTTTTGTCTTTGTAACAGAAAAGTCATGCCATTTGCTAAACCAATTTTGCAAAGACTGTGTTCTGTTCACTGTAGCTGTCCCTCAGATTCATCTATGACAATCTGATTATCAGTATGTGGAAGCATCACCACCTATCTTTTATTATTAAAAAACCAAATAATTACAGAGATACAAAATAAATCATAGACCTGTGCATTTGTTAACTCTGAGAAAAGTGCATAATTACCTTCCTGTTATGTTGTATAATTTAATTTTTCGCTCTTTCCAGTTTTCCACAGTGTTATGTGTGTTTAAATACTAAATGCCTTTACAAGATAATTATTTTCCAGGAAAGAATCTGATGTAGACTTGAACCAACGGATACCAGATGGCACAAAGATTGAAAATGTTATAGAGGATAACACTTATGCTGTCTTTGTAACTTATGTTGAAATTTATAATAATGCTGTGTACGACCTTCTAGAAGAGATACCTGAGGAAACTATAAGTTCAAAGTAAGTAATTTCTCTTTGGTGAGCGAGTTGGCAACACAGCTATATTCATTAATGTTGTGCTGACATATCATCGTTAAGTGAAACCTTCAAATAACCCAAAATCCGTGCTTTCTCTGGTTTGACTTGTAGATGCACTTTCACATGGTTGTGCACATACAGAAAGGTTCAATCAACATTTACAATATTTTGCTCAAAAATCATTTAGCCACTTGGCAGTCAATATACTGTAACTTATCAGGGGTTGTGTGACACATAATAATTTTTCCAAATTTGATGATTAGTTTTATTGGCACTTCTTTACAGTTACAATCAGTTATTATAGCTCATAATCAATGATTGTCTATGACTCGCTCCATTCTTTACTGGAATACGAGTGGTTTCTCTTCAAATGACAACCACAAATCCCTGCTCACACATTAAACTCTCCCTGAATTACAAGTTACGACTCCTGTTTGACAAATTCTCTCTTAATTTATGAATGAACACTTAGCTGTTATTCACCCATTTTCACGGGAATATCGTCGTTAATATTTCTTGTCACAGAAACATGTGTCAGTCCGTGGCAAAGCTTTGACCAGTGTATCTGTTGCAGCAGGAATCTATGTTTACCGAACTGTTGCCTAACAAATAGTCATATTTGTCACAATACAGTGACTCATGCATTGACATATTTATTGAATGTCATTAAACACTCTCCTTAATAATAAGTGCACAGTTAATTTCCATAACTCACTGTCCCTGTTTGTGTGACCAGTTAGCTATAAGCATTCATTGTGTTGTGTTGTGTTGTGTTGAATCATGCTGTGATACATTATTATTGAACAACATGTGTTTCTTTTTGAGAATAACATTTGAAGGAAGAAATCTCATAAGAGATGTGTTTATAAGTTTGGTCAACAGTCACAAAACACATGCCAGTAAGATACTGAAAATCCACATATTAGCCACTTGATCCAATTACACAACCAGAAATTAATGTTTGGTGTGTTGTAAATGCTAGAAGAACTGCAGGATCTATATGCTTTCATGACAGCAATTAATTCAGAAACTAGTATATGAGCATGAGTTGCATGTATTTCCAGCAGATCATTTAACCAGTACACATTGTGAAAAATTCAAATCAGATTCTACAGACTGTATCTGATGAACAGCCAGTCAGTAAAATTATTAAAATTAAATTGAATCAGTAGAGGGCTGTGGCCACCATTTTTCCTGCAACTAAACGTACATGATTTTTGTTTGCGGGAAAACTTGAAACATAAATTTACAACAACCCACGCAGTTGGAAGCCTTAGGGAATGGAATATAGAGTGTTATTCTAGATATCACAGAGGCTGAACTTCAACATGAAACACAGAATTTGTTACATCTCTGCAAAATGTGCATCAGTGTTGGAGGGCACCACTTTCAGCAGCTGTTGTAGTATGAAGTAAGTGAAATGGTCTTACTAATAACATTTTTTAAACATGGATGAACTTGAAATTAAATCATATAATAGAAGTCGGTTTTATTATTGGAGGAAGTCAAAACACTGGTTGGTTTCTCATTCTACAAACAAGGGGTATTAAGGCCATAAAGAAAAGAGTGAACATCCATATATGAGACAGTGGGCTGTATGAAATGAGCTTATGCCTTACCATTCAGCTCACAGCATTTTGGAATAAATAGTCCATGGATACAGAGTGGGATATTTCTGTTCCCATTTAACAGAATCCATATTTTTACAAGAATTTCTATTTATTTAAAAAGTTTTCTTTTTGAGCATTTTTCTTTAATTTTATATACCATGACTTTCATTGGCTTGATGCTTTTTGAAATTATGTGGCTTAATTTGTTGCTAATAATGGTGAAAGTTTTGTAATAGAATACATATAGCGGTAAACCTCTTAGCATGCTCTATGATTTCAGTCATTTTTTCCAGGCAACTGCAGGTGAAGATTGTGAGAGAGGATGCATGTCACAACATGTATGTACATTCTGTAACAGAAGTGGAAGTAAAATCAACTGAGGAAGCTTTTCAAGCTTTCTATAAAGGACAAAAAAGAAAAAGAATGGCTGTTACGACATTAAATTCTGAATCCAGTCGAAGCCACTCCGCCTTCACGATCAGATTGGTGCAGGTTAGGTGCTTGTTCTTGTCAAGCATTTCATTGTAAAAAATATTCTTCTGTTTTAAGCAGCTCTGTGTTCAAATCTGATTTGATTTCAGGCACCACTTGACAGTCAAGGAGAACATGTTTTGCAAGACACAAAAGCTGCCTCTGTCAGTCAGCTGTCTTTAGTGGACTTGGCTGGTAGTGAAAGAACAAATCGAACAAAGAACAGTGGACAGAGGCTTCGGGAAGCAGGTAAACTGTTTTTTTTTTTTATATTTATTTATTNTTTATATTTATTTATTTATAAACTTACAATATTTCTCCAGATTTGGTGTATGCCCCAGTTTTGAAAGGATAAATTGAAATAAAAAAGTTCTTACACACATTAGTTTTATAAAATTTATAAAATATTTTTTAAGTAGGGTACATGTACAGAAAAAGAAAAGTAAAGCTATCCCTGTAACAGGCTGTGAAGGCCCATAAGGTTGTGAGATGTCGAGGCTACCACATTTTTGTAGACAGTCAGCTCATACATGGTGGTGAGGTGGTCAGCCTTACACACCAGCTACCCTTTATGCCCCCTGGGAAGATTCCTGGTGCTCATTTCTGTTAGAGCCTAAGTCGATCCCAGGGTCATAGTGAGGCTGGAAGGATTAGGTCAATGAAAATCCAATGGCCTCATCAGGAATAGAACTCACGACCTTCCAGCTTGTAGCATAGTCCCTCCACCAAATATGTTATATATGTATATATATTCTGATGTGGTGGCTGAAGGCTGGAATAGTTGATCTTGGTGGAAATAGGCTGCTGCCAGCATGAAGATGACCCACTGTGCAAAAGTGGCACAGCGCAAGGGAAATGTCACCAGGAAAAATTGTACCAGGAACAACATGGTACATGGAACTTCAAAAAGACGGACTTTCAGAAGGAGGCATCAGCTGAAACCATAACACAAGTATGGGATAAGGAACAGAGGCCTGAGACAGCAGCTACGAAGCAAGAAGGAATTCACCAAGATCTACAGGAAAACCACTGGACTGGAGATCGTGAAGTGAATTGCCAGGTTTTCTGTTGGGTTTCAGACAATCAAGGACTGGACCTTCTGCAAGTGTCAGCTCCCTCCAAAGTGGAAAAAGAGGCTGCACATGTGGTAAGAGCTGGAAATATTAGAGCACCAACTACTCTGGATAGTTTTGNGTTTCAGACAATCAAGGATTGGACCTTCTGGAGGTGTCAGCTCCCTCCAAAGTGGAAAAAGAGGCTGCACATGGGGTAAGAGCTGGAAATATTAGAGCACCAACTACTCTGGATAGTTTTGCCCTCCACCATTGGAACAAAAAAAAAGAAAGAAAGAAAGAAAGAAAGAAAAAGATTGATGTTTGTACATCTGGTTTGACCGGAACCTTATCATGGAGTTGCTTGGGTCAAGTGTCCTTAAAGCAGGAGCGGTGGTAGTGGTTTGAGACAAGTCACCACATGGAAACAGAGCCACAAGAAGATGTCACAAACAGAAACCTCAGAATAGAAGGAACGGTGATACACCGATAGCCTATTCAGGACCGATAGCCTTAAGGAAGGAGCAATGTGGTGTGACAGCTGAAAGCCAGAATAGTGGAGCCAGAGCCAGACGTCCACTGCTTAGCAACGACTTGGAAATCACATTCCCATTACAACGTAAAGCAGAAAACAAGTCATTATGTGCTGTCCCAGCACAACATCAAATCAGTGGGCCTGCCTCCAAAGATTTCCTCCAGCTGGTCAAAGATAGCCTGGGACTAAGGACACCGGGTGTATACAAAATCCCCTGCGAGTGCAGCAAGGTCTATATTGGGCAGACGGGTCATTCTATGGACCCGAGGTTGAAGGACCCTCAGCGGCACATCCATCTCGAAATAGTAATTTTTAATTTTGTATATTAACATTTTTTAATTTAAATTATATTTTTCATTGTCACAGCATAGAAGAATGTAAAATAATGTCGATGAATGACATCTCCAATAGTAGAATTGAATGTATGTGGATATAAAGTAATCCACCATCATTTTTTTTCTGGAGATACTTAGAGGAAAGTTGGGGTATATCTTGATTTTCCCATTTCGCATATTGGTTGGTTGAGCCTGTCATGATGTATACTGATAATGTGAAATCTTGTGACACTTTAAAATTAAATCATGTCCTTTTGTAATATTTCTGCAAGGGAGCTCCAATATTAATTATTTTGCTATTCACTTTATTAAAACAGGATTTTTGTATTTCCTACTTCACTCTGCTTACAGGGAATATCAACAATTCCTTAATGACGCTTAGAACATGTTTGGAAATTTTGAGAGAAAACCAATTGTACGGAGCCAACAAAATGGTGCCTTACAGAGATTCAAAAATGACTCTCTTGTTCAAAAATTTCTTTGATGGAGAAGGTCAAGTGGAGATGATTGTGTGTTTGAATCCCAGTGTTGAAGATTATGATGAAACAGTTGTAAGTACAGTTTGATGGACATATATTTAATTGGATTTAGTATTATAACCCATGACACTGCTTAAAATACCTATTTGAAATAAATGGAAACAGTGATTTCCATTAACTGCCTATTCATTATTTCTGAACTGGTGTTCTGTGGAACACAAAATTTAATTTTTATTATGTTGTATAATATTTTACCATAATTGCAAAAAATGTTGTTTTGCACCTAGAATTTTTATTTTCATGTCCTTTTAGATGAATATCTATACCTCCACTCTCCATACATCTTCATGGCATAGTGCTTAATTTATTAAGCACAGGTACAATTTTCCTCTTTTTTCACTATTATGTTATGTGTTTATGTTTAAGTGCACCCTTCAAGCGTGTGTATTGTTAATTATTTTTGTTTATTAAATGTATTGTTATTTCATTTCATTTATTTTCCATATATCCATACAGGTAACAAACCTAGGATGTGGAAATGGTCCCGTTGAAAACAGCTATATCAAGATATATGTACAAAATTACATGAATCGCACAATCAAAATCACTTACATTAATCAATTAACATAAATAATAATATGAAGTAAAAAATTTAATAAGATTTTAATTAATAAAAAGAATTTAAAAACAACTTACTATAAAAGTTGAATTAATACAATTTTAAATAAATTAAATACATTACAAATTTACATGCTTATGACTAGGGCCCGGATTTCTATGACGTCATATTTTTTTCCTAGGGTTTATTCCTGTTTTTAAATGTAATTATGCATGTTTCCAGTCATTCTTATTGAAATTATGTCGTTTTTATTGTTCAT